TTGTAATTATGAGAGGTTGATTAATCATTTTTATTGTGGAGGGTGTTAATCATAGATATTATCATCTTCATTATTTTAATTTTTAGAGAAATACATGAAAYARTTTHATTAATTTTAGAGAAATACATGAAACAGTTTCATTAATTATTATATGAAATAATTTCAGAACCATATTTGAAACAACTTGATCAAAAAAAGTATTATATGAAACAATTTCACAAGATTAAACAATTTCATGAAAAAATTTCATAAACTTAAACAATGAAATCGACGGATGAAGGTGGTTTGCACGGTTTACGCAAATGAGGGCGGTTTTTATTTGATCACTCCTCTACACACACACACATATATATATATATTATATATATATATATATATATATATATATATATCCATACTATGCACCAACATAAGATCAAATTTGAGAGAAAAACGAGAAGAATTTTTGGGTTTTAAGGACGATTTTGACAAACCCCTAGTTGCTGCCATTGACCTTCGAGTCATCGGAGCAATCCCAAAATTTATAACCCAACTACTAAATGTATATATTAGAGAAAGGGACAAAAACTTACCTCAAACCGACAAGAAATCGATGGAACCTTGCTTGCTTTTGGCCGTCGGGTTCCCTTCTAGGTTATCAATGGACTCTTCCAAGCTCTTAGGGTTTCTCTCTAACGATTATCACAATTAGAGGAATTAGGGTTAGGGAGGAGGAATTAGGGTTAGGGAGGAGGATTAGGTTGAAAAAAAGATTAGGGTTAGGTTTAAATATAAGGAAAAAAACCCTAATTAAACTCTAATATACAAAAGCCCAAGCCCAAGCCCATCATCCAAATTGCAAAGTTAAAGCGAGTTATGCAGAACTAACCCCTCAAGTTTGGTCAACTTCTGAAACTAACCCAAACTTAATATATATATATATATATACACACACACACATCTGACGGGTATTATATCCATATACTCTACTTTCTATAATATTTAAACGGAATATATTTCCAATGAATTTTCTTGTTTTCGGTTTTGTTTATCAATACAACCATATATATTTGATTGGTGGAAATTAAAGAAAAAAAGAAGGGAAAATAGGGCATCAAGTTGTCAAGATCACTACTTTCAGGTGGTGGCGGCCATGGTGGTGGTCGTGGTCAGCTCCACCATTCAGATTGGTTGTATGTATGAGGACACAACTTTCCCGTTCAACGCATTACGGGAAAATTTATTTATCTTCTTTTGCTATCATAACAATAGACTAATTTTGTCTCGTGTTATTTGCATATTTTCAGTCTAAGACTTGAATGGCCATGGTGTTTCGCCTCGTTTCTATGGAATCCATCGAGGATTACTACGTCAACTTGACAACGATTAAAGCTAGATATTTTGACTTGTGAAATTACTAAAATGTCCTTCAATTGAAAGAAAAACCGTCTAAACGCACCATGTTTTTTTCATTTATGATAACAAAACCGTGTGATGATACATAAGCGGTTTACGTGATTGTCTTCCAATAAAGATGTGCCACGTTGAAGCAAACAAAGTTCTCGAGACCAATTTATATACATATTTATATATTTTTTAAAACTATTACAAAATTATAATATTTTAATTCCATTAAAAATTCATGTTATATTATATATTTACGAATTATCATCACAAAAATTAACTTGTTCGTAATTATTAAAATATTACTTTAATTAAAAGACACAAAGAAAAAGAACTTGAAG